ATACTGAACTGGAAGGTGAATAGATACCAGATTTTTAGTATTAATTACATTTTTTTTTGTAAGATGTTACTTTTGCCTTGTAAACCTTTCCAGTACTGAACTGGAAGATGAATAGATACCAGATTTTCAGTATTCATTACATTTCTTTAAGATATGTTATTATTTCTGCCATATTGTTCTGCCCAGTACTGAACTGGTGAAGATGAATATATCAGATTTTCTTATATCATTAAATGCAGTCTTAATCTTGTTGACGAGTATATTTCACATTCTCGAATTCCATCATTCTAATGAAAATAATAATAAATGGGAACATGAGTACTGTTTCTTACAATATATGATTTATAATACTTAAATGTAACGGGAAAAATTGTGTTCTGTATGGCTTTCAAGTGTAAGTTATGAGGAAATTATGAGGCTTAATATATATATCTCTGATGGAAACAGAATTTTCTTTCAAGTTTCCCCACCTTCAGCTTTCCTAAATACAGTACAAGTGATTCATGTATGTCACAGTTCACAATGTTCAGTGCCTTTGGTTAAAGAGGTGTTTCATGTGAAAGAAAAGTCATGACTTTCCAGGCACGGGTGACAAACTTTCTCCAGGTAAATAATTTTCAGCCTAATCTCTTGTACCCCAGAGCTGCAGAGGCTCTTATTCCTCTGTTTTCTTTTCTTTTCTTTTTTTTTTTTGGAAAGGGGATGGGGACCAAGTTTAATAGAACTTCACTCAAATTCAACCCAAAGGATATGGTTGAAGTGATATTAAACTTACTTATGGAGCTGAGCCCTTCTTGAGAAGCTGCCAATTGTGCAGCCACTCAAGAATTTTCCAGCCTTTTGTAGAACCCGAAGGTTCATTACTGTGTTCACAAGAGCCCTCCACTGGTCCCAATCCTGAGCCAGATCAATCCAATCCATACCATACTATTCTCTCGCACTAGGATACATTTTAATATATATGAGACAAACTCTGTCTTAAGTGCAACAATTTTATTGTAGTTCTTTCTTCTTGTTGCACTTAAGACAGAATTTGTCTCATATATATTGTGTGAGTGTAACAGGATGCTTAACTATAATATTGTATACATTTTAATATTGTCCACCCACCTATACCTTGGTCTTCCCAATAGTCTCTCTACTTCTGGCGTTCCCACCAATATCCTATATGCATTCCTCGCCTCCTCCATTCGTGCAACATGCCCTGCCAATCTCATCCTCCTCGACTACTGATATTGAACACAGTTCAAAAACAGAAATTGGTTGGTGGGGAAATAAACACTTTTACAACCAGATCTCTGCGTACAAGAGGTTGGCAGGGCATGTAGCACGAATTGGGGAGGCGAGGAATGCATATAGGATATTGGGGGGAAAGCCAGAAGGAAAGAGAGACTGCAGTACAAGAGATCTGGTTGTTAAAGTTTTTATTGCTAGTAACGAAAAGAGCATTTTGCGGGTGGCGAGGGAGAGCACTCAAAATAGTTGCTAAGGTAGCATACCTTCTTACCGATTGTGCTCTCGGCTCTGGAGGTAACTTTAAATTTAGTTCACATAAGCTGCGTAGAGATGGCAGTAGCATAACAGTGCTGTCATGGCTACAATGTTGCCAACCAATAACATGGTAGTTCTATGGGGCTGTTCAGGGACCAGGAACTTCATTAAATTACCAGAGTTTCATTTAGTTTAGAAGTGCCTTGCAAATAGTTTGTGAAAGTATTTTATGATTGTATGAATGCCGCCAAAACTTGAAAGAGGTTATGACAACAATGAAAGGAAATATTTATGGTGAATTAATTACTGACTAATTTTCATTGTTTTGTTTTCAGTTATTAGAAAATAATGTCCCTCGAAGTAGAAAATTTGAGAAGAAGGCTTGAAGAGCAGATAGAAGTGTTGAAACACTTCCCAAATGGACCAAGTTACAGAAGTAAGGAAAATAGTGCACATTTCAGGTATTTAATATATAAGAATCCATAGTATACGTACTTTATCGGAACGTTCTTTCCATTCTACAGGTATACGCAAAAATCTTGCAAAAATATATTTGGAATCTGATAAAGAGATCGAAGGAGTATTTAATCTGGTTGAATCACATGCAGTTTCACTTCGCACAAGAACACATTTCCGATATAACCAAGCCAGGTAACAGGAAACATTAATTCTCTAAATTAAACTATTTATTTGTAAAAGAAAACCTCTGTAAATGTGATTTTATGTTCATAATTCATAATTTATTTACATTTTATAAACCGTTACACAATACAATTAGACAAGTCAATTCTGCATGCAGGTTCAGTGAAAAGGAGTCCAATTTCGGTTTCGATGGGTCGTTGGTTCAGCATGGAGGTGAATATGATTCTAAAGGAGTGCCTGCTATGTTAGAAAGGCTATATAAACTGCCTGAAGGTAAAAAGAATAACTTTGTTGCCCATCATGAATGAGAATTTCTGTTTACAGAAGCTCCCTGACCTTCCCAGTCATTCTCTTTGGGAAAGTCTTGAGTAATCCAAATTTTGCATAACTCGAAAGTGTTAATGTTACGTACTTTCATGTGTATGTGTGTTTGTGCTTCTTTGTGCTTTATAGCAAAAGAAATTAAACCATGAACAAATTCATTGTTAACATAGAAAACTGACATTTACAACAACAGAATTTCTTTCACATTCTGTACCTTATTCCCAGTGATATATTATCTCACAGAAGCTGACATCTTGGTGATCGATGACAAGGCCTTAATTTATAGATGATAAAGGAAGGGAGACAGGCATTTTCTCATCAGGCTTGTCATCAGCATCTTGAAAATGTTATTGGTGTTTTATGGAACAGTTTCCTTAAGTCAAGTCTTGCATGACCCAGGGAGCATCTGTATATGAAAACATCCCATTTGTTTTTCACTTGTTTCATAACTATAAAAAACTGACATTTCATTCATTTTAATCCATGTTTGTAATGAATGACAATATGCAGATTTGCGGAATTCCAGATTGTGAATTCTATTCTCTAATCTTTATGCTTGGCCTTGCAATGGGCTGATCCCCCATCCAAGGAGTCCTGCCAACTGTATATGGGATTACAAAACTGAAAAAAGCAGCCAGGGCCCAATAGAGGGCTGTAGAACCATTGATGAATGAACGAGTGAAATCTTTATGCTGTAAACTGTTCATTTCCTCACAAGACAGGTTGGTCTAGAGGTAACCCTGTAGACTCATATGTGGGAGGTGCTTGGTTCAGATATCTCCTGGGATGTTTTCTGTTTTCCTTAGTGAGGCAAATATTTGCATATTACTTCAATTTGGTTATGGCCACTTCCTTCCAAATTGGCTCTGGCCACTTCCTTCCAAATTGGCTCTGGCCACTTCCTTCCAAATCCTTTCCAATTCATCATTTGCCATCCTATCATTGAATGACATATGAACACAATGCTGCAACTGGGAAAAAAGAAGAAATAAAATTAAACGTCATTTCTGTCTTCTTCTAGTACTGAAAATAAATCATCATATGTAAGAAAACATAGGGAAATATGATGTTGAGACATAAATTACATAGAATCATACCTCCACATCTCATATTCATGCCATGCTTCTTAGGCACACGATTTTGATTTGTTATTTGAAGGAATATTTTTGTAGGAGAACATAGTTTATCTCAGTTCCTGGATAGTGTACTTTTTAATTGAACACAGCCCACTTTTCAGTGATCTGAACTACCATCATCACATTGCAATGGAAATTCCAAGTTCAATTCTGGCTGGGAGACACCTGTCCCCACTGAGGCTAATATCAGGAGAGTATTTTTGTTCTTTTCCTGCCATTTCTCATTGATTACCATACATCTTGTACAGTTGACTTAGTATCAGTAATGACAGTAAGTAATAAACTAGGGCAACAAATAAAGCTATTCAGGCTATGCTACTATCAGGATGAAACAGTTCTGTAATGTGTATCTGCTGCAGAGTGGAGTCTGGTGCAACTGACATTTGCGTATGACCCATCATGGCGATTTGCATTTTCGACCCACCCATTCAAGCGTCTAAATCCTCCAGCACTACACATCACAAGATTTGAATGTGGTAAGCATGCAAGGAAGCATCCCCCATATTGTGTCACAATACCAATCAAGCAGAAATTCCGGACTTTGGAGGCAGAGTTACGCACCATCGTTGATGACCACCAGAATCATCTCAATTGGGGGCGTCTTACCAGTGAGCAGTATTACAGACTTAAAGGAATTCTGGACATGAGGATGAAGGTAGGACAGGAAGACATTTTCATTCACATTTGGGAAAAAATCTTTTCTTATAATATTCAGTGAGTTGCAGAGTAAAATAGCATTCACAAAAATAAATAGCAGGTTAAATTTGGATAATGCTTGCTATCACACAGGTCAGAATGATTTCTCAAAAAACTTAAATACAACGCTACAGTTTTTTTATTTTGTATGGGTGTGAAACATGGTTTCTTACATTAAGGGATGAATATAAATTGAAGGGTGCTTATGAAAATATTTAGGATGGAATTGGTGGCTGGAGAAAGTTGCATAGTGAGGAACTTCATGATGTGTTTATAAGAGACTTGCTGGCCATTACACTTTACACAATTTGGTTCAGAGTGTCCTATTAATTTTTATCATTATTTAAAGGAGGAATTAGTATGATTCTTACTATAACCCAACAATGTACTTACCAGTTACTGAAACAGTTACTGTTCCCAAACATTTACCAATTTGTTCATTAAAAGCAGAATAGGCAGGAATGAAGGGGGGAGGTGAGCTATGTTTACGAAACATAAGCTACTAAAGAAATTTCTTGGTGGTTCTGTCTCATTACTACCTCTTATGTTGTGTTATTAGTCATTTTGTGTTCAGCCACTAACCTTAGCAGATAACTTAAACATGTGCTTTAGCATGGCATGACAATATTGTGATCTGAAACTCCTCCTCGTTATAGTTTGCTTCTGTCACTTTACCATACAGCACATAGCAGAAGCAACAGAAATGTCACTCCTATTACATCATTTACATTTTTTGGCATCAGATATAGCAACAGTATCACCAATTGGCAGTATGTGCACCATCCATGAGAAACCATGTTGGTGGGTGAGAGATGATGAAGATTGCTTTCTGCAGAAAGTTCTGGAAATTTTTATATCTGTATATGAGTTCTTGTCTGCTGCTGGAAGGACCACCTGATAGGGTTTAGTATATCAAGAATGTAGGAACAGGTCATTAGAGTTTTAATGACCAGCATGCCTGTGTTACACTTAGGAGGTCCCATGTATGTGTTTTATCAACTACAGATGTTACTTAGCATCAAATAGGATGAAAGGCTTTTCTTTCATACAGTTGCCTACCTAAAGGATGACACACCTCAAAAATGTTTTAGACCAGTGACTGTATTTACACATTTGATTCCACTTTCTTGCACCCAGCATCTTGATCAACTAAACAGCGCTCCTACTTCATATTTGGGAGGTCCCAGTTTCAAATCTCAGACCAATGACCAGCTATTCTGACTTAAGCTTTTTGTGCACTGGGAAAAGCATATTGTGTGGGTTTAATTATTCACTGTTGTGCTTTCAGAATGTGGTAATGAGGCTACAGAATGATTGGCTAGGACACTGGATTAGTCTCCTGATCGGTCACTACACTGAGCCTCAAAATGAGGAAAGAGTTACCTCATTTGTTGACCAATTGCTAGAGCAGTATGTGGAGGGTGGAGATGTCTCGCTGTGAGTGCCTAATAAACATGTTTATTTCTGCAAGTTTATAATAAAATGAAGCTGTTGTTATAATTTAAACTTCTCTCCTCCACAACTAGAAAACTCTAAAATTGGTTCCAATTCCCAATTAATTGTCATAGCATTACCATTTTTGTAATTTTAGATTTTATTTATAAACTGTGATCACCTGAAGATGATCTTAGGGTTTGAAATATGAAATGGTACTATAATAATAAATAACTTTGTTGTATATAATACAATTGATTATTGTGTTTATGGATATAAAGGCAGTTATACTTACACATTAATTCACAACAGGATGAAAATGTTGAAGTTCATGTAAAGTCTCAGTTATTGCTATTCAATTCTAATCAAAATAAAAATATGCAGACAGTTTTTAGTAGAACTCGTTAGTATACTATATTTCATGAAAACCTTTTCATCGGTTCCTGAGTTGTTACATGCAGATAGATTTACCACTCTGTCCAAAAGGTATCCAACATTGGGCCATGAAGACAAAGTTCTGTATCCGGGTGCTTACAATACCTATTCCCCTTCAAAGTAGGCCCCTCATGACTCCACACACTTAGCCCAGCGGTCCTTCCATCCCTGGATGCAATTCTGGAGTGCTTCTTTTGGAGTGGCGTGCAGGTGCACCGTCGTGTTCTGTATGATGTCCTCACGGCTGTCAAAACGGGAGCCTTTTAGCAGTGTCTTCAATCCCCGGAACAGCCAGAAATCACAAGGAGCCATGTCAGGAGAGTAGGGAGCCTGGCGAACCTGCGGAATGCCGTGCTTGGAGAGGAAACCCTGGATCGGGTGTGATGAATGTGCTGGGGTGTTGTCATGTTGCAGCTACCAGTTGTGTGCATCCCACAGCCCTGGTCTCTTGCCCCGAACTGCGTCACGAAGATGGCGGAGGACTTCTTGGTAGTTCTCCTTATTGAAAATTTGACATTGCTCCGAACCTGTCGTGCTTTTGGGCCTCGGGGATGTTGGATGCTTCCTTTGTGATGCCTGGACCTTGGTTTCCGGGTCATATCCGTACGTCCACGACTTGTCACCAGTGATCACAGTTTCAGGAACTCAGGATCCCTGTTGGCGCTCCAGCATGTCCTGTGCGACCTCAAGGCTGAGTTGTTGCTGCTCTGGCGAAAGCAGCTTGGGCACAAATTTTTCTGCTACTCTTCGCATGCCCAAATCCTCAGTTAAAATTGTGTTTGCAGAACTTCTGCTGATCCCAACCTCATCAGCAACTTCCTGGATGGTCAAATGATGGTCCTCCATGATCAGTGTCCACACTTTTTCAATGACACAGCATTTTGGCTCATTGACTTTCTCCCGGAACCCTGGTCACTGTCTGCTGACATCTTTAAAGCGGTTGAACCACTCTTTAATTTGAGAGACCCCCGTTGCATCATTGCCGAAAGCCTGCTGAATTTTGCGGATTGTTCCTGCTTGGGTATCCCCGAGTTTCTGACAAAACTTGTTGCAGTATCGCTGCTGCAAGCGTTCTGTCATCTTGAGCGAAACGAGAATGTGACGAACATGTGTTACACCAGTTCGCTATCTGGCAGCCACAGACGCAACCGGCTGTGTTGCAGATCAGCAAAATATCATGCATGCACACGAAAGTCCCATCTACCACTACGCTCAGTTTCCCCACCCCTTTGGTCATTACTTACAGCAGCAAAAAATAAAGTCATACTTTTTGGACAGTGGTGTATAGTGAATCTAACAGGTATGGTTTTGCAACTTTTCATTGCAGATGTTCTAAAAATCAGTTCATTATGACGCTACTTTATGTGAACAAGTTATTGGAAAGGAACAAAAAGCATGGTACATGATATGCAAAATAATGAAAAGATGAGAAGTTCTGCAAGAACCACTATAAGAAGGAAAACTGCAGAATGGGTGGGTACCCAAGCCAGTCTGGATGCTATGGAGAAGAGAAAAATGTTTTGCCCCTGCCTGAAGTTGAACACTGATTCCTCTGTAATTGAGCCCATCGCCTAATGGCTATACTGGCTGAACTCTGATGTTCTCATATAAATATATGAATCATGTTACTTTGCAGACACAAAACAAAGCATACAGTGACAACCCGGTCCAGAAGGAAGATGTATTTTCTTGCAAAGGCATCAGCTTTCTTGCTAGAGTGGCAACTGCGAAGAGGTGTGGCGGACTGTCTGGAGATACCTATTGCTGCAACCAAGGACATAGCACGACAACTTAGTAAACTTCATGATGCTGTGCAACTCCAGACTGCTAGGAGGCATCCAGTCATCCTAATTTTAGATGAGGTATTGCTAATGTGGTTCAGAAATATGTTGCTTTTGCTTAGGAATTGTGACTCAAAGGGGCTGTCCATTCAGCTACCTTGACACATAGAAAAAGAAAGTATTATTTGTATATATACTGTAGCATGTTTGGGCGACTGAAATGCCATTCGGATTGATAATTGAGCGTATTAACCACTTAGTTACGCACACTCTCTTAATTACATTTAGATATAGTGCTATCACGGATTTACATACACCTCATAATCCACTGTTGCACGCACACACTAGCCCTCTCCGGGTAACATATCTCAACACAGAAATTAGCGCTTCAGATCACTCCAAATATTACACATAAATAAGGTCTTCAATTGCCCTTTAAATCTTCACAGGTCCTCTACGAACTTCCCGTTGCTGTTACTCAAACATTTAAACACTCAAATACTCCCAAATACTGACAGCTGTTCTGTCTGTAACTGTCGTTATATAGCTTCTGCACTGACCATACAAAAGACAGCCTATATTGTTGGAACATGTTTACTGAGCAATTGCACAGCAACAGTCACAGCACGGACTCCATAGAATACCCAGTTACGTGATAGGTACCACTGTTGCGTGATGTCACAGCCTAGCGTGGAGGGGTGTTTACTGAGCGTTGCATAGGAACAGGCTGGGTGAGAGTATGCGACGTCACTCATGGAAATGCAGAGGTCACGTGACCCCTACTTACTGTTGTGCAATCCAAGCGTTCACAGAGCTGTCGCTTAGCAACACGCTGATACAATCCACAGCTCTCCTGTTGCACACGTGCCCTGAGGCCTCTGTGGCTCAACATCTCCTGAATAGAGCAAATACGCCACAATACATTTCATCAAGCCAGATTCATATTATGTTGAAAGTGGTTGAAATAATATTCATTCCACAAAGGACTGTTTGTGTTTTGGCTTTAGATTGGATACCCATTTTTCAGTCCATGAAAGAAGAATTAGGAATTGTTCTTTTCAGATTCAACAATCTCTGGAGACTCCAGCCCCCTATCCAAGGGATAGCTCTTTCCTTTTGCATGAAATTTTGTACCTTGATGTGTACTTCTCATATCCGTGGCTTGCATGTCAAAATGTACAGATGATTTGAAGTTGAAGTTTGTAAAATTCTGTGTTCAGCTTATACACATAACTTGAGGGTTTGTATAAGGGGTGGGCCTTCTCGGCCCTTGCACCGCGACCTACAGTGGTCTATTGTGCTTATAACTTGAGGGTTTCCTCAGAACACTGTGAGAATTGAAGCTGTAAGTAATTATTCATTAGATTTCATACTACTTCAACTATTGCTTATATCATTTTCAAGGGTGCAGTGTACATTATTTAATGATAATCCTACATTGCAGCATCATGTTGCACTTCCTTGAAAAGGCTATATTTAACTGTCCTGAATACAAAACCCTTCCAGTATTACTCACCTGTTGTAATTATTTGTTAACCACGAAGTCATTCTCACCACACACTGGGCTTCAAGTTAATCAGTTAATGAAACGTGTTTCAACCACTATATTTGGCACACTGTCATTTGCATTGTCACTCTTAATTGTCTTTGATAGATATAAATATTAAAATTGAAATTGGTGTTGAGCTTCATAATAAAATATCTGATACTATCAAAATGATTTGCTTTGCTCTTCGATTAAGCTTGTATTATTTGCTATTGGGTGTTTATGTATGTTTATTTGCTTTAGCAAAGATTTTTTGCTACTTTTCCATTTCCTGCTTGGCTTCTGTGTTGTCTGTTGTATGTATGGAGCTGGGATCAAAACACAGAATGTGCTAACTCTCCATTTTAGGAGCTGGAGTTGTTCCCATGGGAAATGCTGAACATACTTCAGGACCATCCTGTGTGCAGAGTACCAAATCTACACATGCTATATGCCCTTTACAAAGGTGAGAGTGATTTTGTGGAGACAGAGCCAGGTTTTGATATGTTGTATATCTTTCAATGTCAATGTAACTCCTCCATTATTTGAAGCTCAGATATAACTTTACTGTTTCATAACAATTCTGCCATGTTCAATCTTTTTTGTTTACATGTAATTATCCTGAAAATCATAAGATGATGAGAAAGGGCATTGTGTATGAAGTGTGCCATTTATCTTTTTGTTTGTTCTGATAAAATGTTCTGCTTGTTACCCCTCCCCTTTTTGGTTATGTTTAAGATGTGTGTTATTGTTATTCTGTTTTAACCAAAATTGGATTGTGTATTTTAGTTACATGTGTGCATGTGCACACATGTATGCATGTAATGTAATGTCATGTTTGCATGTGTTCAGACTGCTGTTGATTGTTGAATATACAATTTCAGAAATGTATATACAAATTTGATTTGGTTCGTCCTGGTCCATCACACTAGCAATATTATAAAAGGTTATCAACTCTGTCCAGTGTGACTGATAATTTTTTTTTCTTTTTTATTGTAATCCTTGAAATGTTTCAGTCTGAGAGATCATCTTCAGAAGAATATATCAATACAGGCAGAAACTACTACAGGGTGAATCGTATAGAAGCAGCCCAATGAATTTGCTAATAATTCTGCAGGTGATGCACATAACCACTCACAATTACGACATACTAATCCATTGGCCGTGCTGAGTCGAATGGTATGCACATGATTTGGCAAATGGCAGCCCTTATGCTGGAAGGTCAAGGACAATCCCGAAACGTGTCTGCAGTGCGCAGGCGACAGTTATGGAGTACACTGTTGAACAGCGAGTGTTTCTTGTGCGCATGTACTGGGTGACAGGCTCGATTGCGAACACACAATTGGAATTCAGGAGGAAGTTTGGAGTTCGCAAGAAGCCAGCAAAATCAACTCTACAGTCCTTGGCTCAGAAATTGGAAAGGACAGGGACACTTTTAAGTGAACGTGGTAAAAACCGCCCAGAAATGCCAGAAGAAACGATTGCAATTGTGCGGGACAGGTTACTGCAGTGTCCCAAGAAATCATTATGACGTCTAAGCCAGGAAACCGGGTATTCTTATTCAACGTGTCAACAGGCTACAAAGAAGTGAATCTTCTTCCCTACAAGATCACCAGTGTTCAGGAATTGGGTGATGTTGATAAAGATAAACGGGTATGGTACTGTTTATGGTTTTGGGAATTCGTGCACGATAACCCCAGAATTTTGGATATCACTTGGTTTAGTGATGAAGCATGGTTCCATTTATCAGGATATGTAAACGCGCAAAATTCCAGGATCTGGGCGTCTGAAAACCCACATGAGATTGCTGAATCACCACTACACCCACAAAAAGTGGGTATGTGGTGCGCCATTTCTGGTTTACGAATCATTGGACCGATCTTCTTTGACACGACCATGGACAGCACCTTATACTGCCATATATTTTTATGATTTCATGCAGCAGCTGGATGATGTGGAACTTACACAGGGTTATTTTCAGCAGGATTCAGCGACGTGCCACACGTCCAACATGTCCATGGAACTCATTGAGAGCTTCTTCCCAGATCGCATCATCTCTAAAAAGATGTGGCCCCCAAAATCCCCCGACCTTACCAGCCTGGATTTTTTCTCTGGGCTTTACTGAAGGACAGGGTGTATGCAAACAAACCGCATACATTACAGGATTTAAAGGACAACATTTTGGCTTAAATCAGGAACATCACTGAAGAAACACTGCAGCGAGTCATGGCGAATATGCAAACGCAGGTGGAGGCATGCTACTTGAAAACGGCGGACACTTTCAACATCTGCTCTGATCACGGCACACAACCCAAGATAAGATATGTGTAAATTACTTTGATATCTGTATGGTATATTTTATATTACAGCTCATTTCATTGGGCCGGTTCTATATGAATCACTCTATTACGTGATTGGTCAATATCAATACATATATACAATATAATCACAATGCCATGAATATAAAATCCGATCCTTTAACACTTACAGTGACTTGCATGAATATATTAAAATATTTATTAATTATTATAATTGGTTTGTTTACAAGATTGGTTTAAAAAGACTTTGTTAAAATTTAGAACCAATTTGGTTAGTGTCCTTTATACTGCTTCTCTTTAAAGGAACTCGACTGTCTACCGAATCATGGTTCCACTGTTGATGAATAGGACTCTTAATATTATCCTGTTGTTCGGGGCATGCTGTGTTATGACATATCCTTCTGAAGATGGTCTCATCATCATCATCATCATCAGTAATCTGTCAGACGTCAGGTCCACAGTCTCTTCCAAAATAATTCCTCCACTTAATGCGATCTAGAGCTTTCTCCTTCAAATGACAGTATCCTCTTCTGTCCCCAAGGTCATCCAGCATCTTCTTACGTCTTCTTCCTCGTCTTCTTGTCACTTCTATCCGCCCCTGTATCTTTCCTTCAATAACTTTTTTAGAAGGTAGTTTCTGCATAAAACATGACCAATCCAACTAGCCTTCCGTTTTCTTATTACGTTTAGGATATTCCTCTGCTCACTGACAATGAAGAAGTGTTAGAGAAATGAAGAAGTGTTAATTAGAGTCAGTGAGCAGAGGAAGATGGTCTATCAGACCAAAACATATCAAGGTTGAAAGAACAAAAAAAAAAACAAGTCACACTGGACAGAATTGATCACCTTTTATGTATATGCAGAATTACAATTCTGGGATATTCATTCAGTATTGTTTAATTATTTCAGAAACTCTACGACTTATGAAAATACTGTGTTAGGCATAATATGTTTTTCATTTTTCTTTACAAGTTTTGTTCAAAACATTCACATCAACAAATATTTAGCAAATGTGCTTGATAATGGGGCAAAAACACATTTATGTCTTCTTGTAGTGTTCATTACATTTGTCTAATTGCAATCAAAATTGGGATGTGTCACCACATTTCAGTGATTCCCTAAAATTAAAAATTTCATAAAAATCCTTTTAGCAGTTTTGAAGTGTTGTATGGAGAGATGGATACAGTGGATTAATGGATGGATACAGCTGCTCCTCAGGGATGCAGACATGCCCATAAAAGGATTTCCATTTTTTTGTGTAGATACTAACATGAATATTGTTTCAGCCCATGAAAGAAATATCTCAAGGGGCAGATTTGAAGTGGATGCATCATCTGGCTACTATATTGTAAATCCAGAGCAGAATTTGCCTCGCAATGAGAAGCGCCTTCGTCCTTTCCTCACTTCACGAGCTCCCAGTTGGAATGGTACATTCGGTGTTGCACCATCTTCTGAACAGTTCAGAGATGTGCTTCAGAACTACAACATATTTATGTAAGCCTGAAAAATATTGCTAGTATGTATAAAGGCAATATACGCTAATTTTTTATGGCTATCTTAAGGCTCGCATACCCACCATCGTCAGACTTTGAATACAAGAATATACTGGGATGAAGTAAAGATTTTATTCCAACTAGCGATAAATTTCAGATATCTTACTCTCTTGGAAGTGCATTATCACAAGTCATGACAAAATGGCAGTATTCTTCACTCATTTACCTGTGATCAGAAAACAGAGGCTAGTTAAAGCTGCACTTTCATTTGCAAATTAATATTCTTAGCATGAAAAATGTTGTGGTGCCAAGAGTTGTCAGAAGTATGTAAGAAGTTATGTGCTTGCATGGAAGGCATGGTGCATAGCGGGATGGCTAGACTTTTAAATTTCATCTACTATCATATTTAATAATTTTTTCCCTTCTGTTTTACATTCATGTGCAAGTTATTATACATCATTTATTGCACATTTTTTCTAATCATTCTAAAAATTTAAATTTTCATATGATTTGACATATGAAGTTTACATAAATATTTCTCCTAACAGATACTCCCCTCACTTTTCTCTTCAGCAGTAATTCATTCATTGGTAGGGCCACTTAATTTAAATGATAGGTCTATGATAGCTAAGTGATCATTTACCTTTTACTGTATTACTTTGATCTAATATGCTTTTACGTGTACAGTTGGTAATTCCTTGCATTCATCAAGTGATTGTTGCATATAACAACTGAAATATGTTCATATGACTTATAATTTTTCTGTTTGACTTCTCTGCAGTGATGGATCCATGACTATGCCCATCAAAATGTACAATCTCTTCCATATATATAATCTCTGCTCTCCTTGGCATTTGTTTCATGCTGGTTTTTTGCATGGCTTTTTCTTTGACCCTGATGACAGAGGCAACCTATTCCTCCAAAATGTCAGTTAACTTTCAACAGACTACATGGTGTTATATCCTAGATGACTGAACTCTTCACACCCACCACTGTGAGAAGCTCAAATCCTACATATTTCTATGCTTGATCATAAGTTGCTTCACAATGCAACACTTTTGAAGGTAAATGTTTTGGATGACCAAATTTTCATTACGGAATCATGGTGCTTTGTCGACTGTATTCTAAATGTGGATTTGATTTAAATTAAATCAGTGATGGTGAACATGCAACAGAACTTAGCATAGCCAAACTTGACAGGGGTTATTAGAAAACAAGCGTATGATTTCAAGAGTATGTGACCTGTTGTGGTGGTAACATGTCCAACGTGCCTTAGAAGAGGGAGGAGGAAAGTGATGTGGGAAAAGTGAACCTCCAACATTTTTGTTAGCACTGGAGGACACTGACACTGTGAGGAAATACCTCATGAAGTTTAGCGATGATAATAATAACATGACACCTGACCCAGTAATATTGACAATAAGGTGTACAGGATACAGTAGAAAGCAAAGAAGCAGCATCATATGTCACTGTACATGTGGAAGAATAATATAAATTACATTATTAATGCATTGAACTAGATTACAATTTTAATGTAATACAGTTATGTAATTTATTGTATTTCATTTCAAACAGCTGCATAAATTTTCATTTCCTTGAATTTACTTTAGTTTTAAATGGTCCATTCAGAAATGTGAAATCCGAGTTTCATTACATTATACCCATATTCTCCTAGACAGGACTTTGTCCTAGAAAAAATCTTGAAAACCTCAAACATGACAGCCAAATCCTAGCTGTGATCTGAATTTGATACCTATAGAATACATTACTGATTACCTGACTTGGTTTTGGTAAACAAGTCAGAACCTGTTTGAATTTATTATGTTCATTTCATTAGATCAATAAACGATACATTTAAACACAGATACAGAATGTAAGATTTGAGGCTTTCACGGCGGTGACTATGAAGAAAGCAGTCTTCTGGGATTTGGCACCGTGTATAAGTGGTGTNTGTAGCTTAATTTATTTAATTTTATTCTAGAAAGTGTTCACGGACTTTCTCATTCTTTTCTGAAACTTACAGTGTGTTCTTTGCACATGCCTGATTTATTTAATTTTCTCTGACTAACAATAATTAATTTGTCATAACTTCAGAAGTTGGTTCCTTAATTTTAGCTATGCTGGACATGGATCAGGCTCGCAGTTCCTGCAGGGAGATGAAATCCAGAAGCTCAATGTACAAGCTGTGACCTTCTTGTTTGGGTGTTCAAGTGTCACCAGCAAGGATCTGGGGGGACGAATAGAGCCTGCTGGAATGTGGCACTTCTATCACATTGCAAGTTGGTCAGTGTTTATTTTAGTAGTCAGAAGATAAAGCAAGGCTCATCAGACTTGCTTCATTAATGATAAGCTGTAGGTCAAGAGAAAGAAAAGGAGTAAGGTGTAGCGACATGAGCTGTTGGCTTAAAAGAGTCCTCTTAAAATATTCAGAGCTTATAGTAAGAGAAAATTCTAGAAATAATTTTTAATTAAACAGATTGTGTCACAAGGTGTGAACTTACAGTAGGAATAAATCTACCCAGAAGGTTCGAACACATACATATAATTAGGTCAGGATAAGCCAGAGTTGTAGCACACTTAGAGGAGATGGAAAAATTACATAAAATATTAGACGGATGCAGACTGGATTGACCCTGTGCATGATAGCGTTCAGTGTAATTCTTTGTCAAAAAAATTCTCCATCTTTCATGAGCATTTAAATTTCAGCTCAGCAGACCTTCTCAAGGTCTCTTGCCTTAAGGGGTTAGTTAAGCACTGATGGCCTCTGACTAAACTTGCCTAGTTTTGTTCAACGTATATTTTTTCTGAGTAAAATAAATGGTAGGGAAAATAAAGCTGGTGGATATAAACTAATCAAAATTAAACTCTGTAAGTACCACTGTTGGTATCCACAATGTGGATTTGAACAGTCATGACGCAATCAAAAACAGTGCTCTAATTTTTGCTTATAAATTTTACAGTCCCATGGTGATTGGCAATCTGTGGGCTGTCACAGATGCTGCATCAGATGCCATCACAGTACACACACTACATAACTGGCTGCCAAGGACACAGGATATGGTGATAGATGAAGAGCAGGAGAGGATGCCACTGAAACCATGTTATGTTAAGGACCCAGATGCCCCAGAACTATGGCGTCCAAATGGCTACAGATGGAAGCATGAACCTGACTTGCTATCTGCCATACGCCGCAGTCACACTGCTAATAAACATTATATGGCATCGGCTGCTCTGGCGGCCAGAGGGCTTCCAGTTGTAATCAGAGGCCAGGTCGACAAAGACATACCAGCAAAATCACTAGGGTCAGGATAGATTTCTTAAGTAATCAATTCATAATAAGTGACTGCTTCTAAAAGTAGTTTTCATTCCTATGAAGGTTTGAGACTAATAAGGATTAATAATTTTCTACAAGCACAGCAGTGGCTAACTTTACATTCCATCGGCACAAATGTGAAACTGGTTGGCATATTTACTGAGTTCTCAAGTGTAGTTAATAAGTAATTTTGTGCCTTAAGAGACTACAGTGAAACTTTGATTTTTGTTTTGAAGGGAACATCCAAAATAGATGCAAAATTTGAGCAAGGTGTAAGATAAGGGAAATAAAAACTATGTAACATATGGAATGATGTGTGTGTTGCTTTATACCCTAATTTCAGAAAGCAAACACAAATATACATGTTTGAATATAAAAATACATGGTGCAATCCAAGTTCCCGAAATATATTAATAAAAACTGTTACATCTTACCTAGATATTATTCTGCACCATCACCTTCGAAGTAGTCCCCTTGGGAGCGCATACACCAGTCCCAGCGTTTCTGCCACTTTTCAAATGCATCCTGGAAGTCTTTCTTTTATAGGGTGTTTAGTACCGTCTGTGTTTCCGCTTGAATTTCCCCAACTGTATCAAATCGTCGCCCCTTTAACTTGATTTTCATCTTGGGGAAGAGAAAGAAGTTGTATGGAGCTAAGTCTGGCAAGTAAGGTGGGTGGGGAACAACTGCCATCTTGTTTTTAGCCAAAAATTCCTGCACAATGTAAGCCGTATGCGGTCGTGCGTTGTCATGGTGGAGTACCCAGTCATTCATGTGCCACTTCTCTGGACGTTTTCTCCTCATGTCCT